ATGGAATCGATCACCGCGCTCATCATGGCCCACCAAGCCTTCCATTCCTCCGGGGTAGGAAAATTGCTACCACACTTGTCTGCGAGGATAGCAGCATTGGCTCGATACATTGCTAGGCCACCGCGAGTCGTCGTAAAGGGCAGAAATGCATTCAATCACCTCCGACGATACTTAACGAAGTCGAATGGACGGCGTCTCCTTCAAGAATTGATCAATGCCGAAAGCTTTATCCTTTTTTATCCTATGTAGCGCATTGTCTTCTTGACCAGCCGCAAGCTGCGAAAATGCGTACCACTTGACTGTTGATGAGATTTTTGGATTGTCATCGTCAAATATCTTCCTTGCCTTATGAGATACAAATAAGCAGGTATAGACGTGTTCACACTTCGTCCCTAACTTGGATCCAACCAACCCTATGGTGAGTATTTATACATTCTCCTCAAACGAAAACTATTTCGTGGAGATAACGTCACTGCCACTTGCTCTGAACGCCACTTTAATGCCCATAAATCAGTTGTTGAAAACGAGGCACAGAAACGTGCTTATTACATTTTTTCGAAACAAAATTGCTCATTTGACCACTTCAATTCGAAGCGCTTGCACAGAAGTCTTTATGAATTACAGCAAATTTTATCTGATACCTTCAAAGTCATTTAATGAACAGAATGTAAACAGAAAGTACCTATAACAGTACCTTGGCAAGTGACTCATCCATGTTCTTGGGTGTGCCGGCTGCTGCGTAAAGCACATTTGGCTCACTGTCACATTTATCACTCGTGTAGTGGATTTCGAACAAACAAAATGGTGTGCCCACCTTCAAATTCTTTTGCCAGAGTTAGCGATGTCAATAGTCACCATAGTGGTAGCAGAAACTCATTAATTGGAATAAGATTCCCAACCTCAAATTCGACGTTGTGTGTTCTGTTTCCAACAAAACAACGTGGCTCAATTACGAATGTGTAGAAAGTGGTGATGGACAAAAAGAGTACCCGCACTGAAGCTTTATGATTAGTATAGTTTAAGCTATAAAGTAGAGCAACTCACTCTAAATCCGACGCCACGTTGATGTTTCCAAACGACTTCCCTGACTAGCGACAGGGAAGAAGCTGGCTACACTGTGGAATGTAGTGCCTTTATGTCATTACTTTGTAAACAAACTCGTGTTAATATATCACCACAAAAACGTTTATCTTTTATCAACTAATCATCTAGGTAATAAAATAATAAAAGGACAAAGCTGTCGACTTTGATCAATCTCTGAGGGATGCGCCATGCATTCGACTTCACTAAGCGTCGTTTGGAGGTGATTGAATGCATATCTGGCCTTTACAATGACTCGCGGTGGCCTACCGATGTATCGAGCCAGCGCTGTCTTCCCAGACAGGTCTGGTACCAATTTGCCGACCTCGGAGGGATGGAAGGCTTGGTGGGCCATGCGCGCGGGAATCGATTCCACGTGTGTGTTGCATGGCGCCTCTGACCACTGCGCCAAACGTGCACTACCTGGTAGAGCAATTTTTTCCATTCTTCTAATGTTTTAAAAGTGTGAGTTCTTATTATTAACAAGTGGCGTCAAACATCATCACTGATTGAGAGAGAAGATAACAGATCCTCAAGTTACAATCGAGTTGGTACTCGATTTTGAACTCTTCTGTGAATGACGGTCACAAAACAGTGAGTCCAACGAAAGAATCGCTGGAAATTGCATGACGTTTAGGAGGGCTGATTCATACGATATCATTATGTAAGCAAAACCCTCATCTAAGCCTAGAGTCTAAGAAATAATGCAAATTTGAGCTCAGATGCGAATAGTTTAAGTAATTCATAGTACAAGATTATCGTCATCTCCTAACCGTGGTATCTCTTGAAATGTGCAGTGGTGATTGATATCTCGCTAGGAGAATGAAGAGATCAACAAGAGTTGAGAACTTTTGTGATATTGGTATGCCACTAAAGGAAAGCAGCCACAACGATGCTGAGATATTTTTCCCTTTCTGTGGGCTGAGGCGCTCACCATCACACCATGTGGGTCCTTCGTCTTGCCTGTCTCTCAAGCTAGTTCCAACGTAATATCACGTTCGTTCCTCACCGAAGACACCTGCCGCCCGGTGTTCTGCAAATATCTCAGCATCGTTGTGGTCGTTTTCCTTTAGTTGCACACAAATATCACAAAAGTTCCGAACTATTGTTGATCTCACAATGTTTAACGTTTTGTTTTCTGCCTTCTATAATTTTCATAGCAGGTTACTAAGCGAAATACAACCACAACGTTGCTGAGATATTTAAAAACTCTAGACCGCAGGTGTCTATGGTGGAAAACGAACGCGCTACTGTCCTTTCCGAGGAGTAACGCGTTCACCACCGTAGACACATGCGGTCCAGAGTTTTGCAAATATCTCAGCAATGTTATTGTTGATCTCTTCATTCTCCTAACGAGGCACTGTAGAATATTTCACTGTAGTCGTTGACGTGTAAAACGTTCTTTTTAACGAACCTCACCAATACTCCGAATTAGGCTTGACCGTTTCTGACGGCATGGGCCAAGAGAGCATTGGCCGATAAACGTCTTGGCAATGGTGATCCAAATAGACATATCAGATGACACATTTCCCGGTTTTGAAAAATTTGAGCAAACACGCACCAAAGCATCGAATCTCTTGTTGAGCATTAGTTGCCGGTATAATTAATCCAACTTTCGCTTAATGATAAAGCAAAAAACGAGGCCGTAACAGCACGAGATTGCACATGTAGAACGTGATCCTATGGTATATTCAATACGAAGTCTTCTCTTCGACATTTTATTATGAATATGCGAAAAACTCTAAGTCAAGTCAGTTTACAAATCAGAACCAATAAATATTGCTCGGATGGCCCAGTTTTAAAAGAATCAACTCTAAGCGCCACAATCTCCATTTGAGTGGTAATTTACTGCTTAGGCAAGACTTCCCTGCGCTCAACTCCTGAGGCAACCATTCTACTGCTTTCGTAGGCCGTCATCACAGTTGGTGGTCTGTACTAATAAATCAGAGGATTACCCATTTCTGGACCAACTATCACTAGTCACAAGGTGAACGCCGCCATTGACTTACCCTTAATTGGATTTCCAGATAAAAATGCTTATCTGCTAACCATATGACCCTTTCCGATACAGACTTAGACCTGGAAATAAAGAAGGTTGCTCAAACTGCTTATCATTACACTTTAAAATGTTTTTGTATTGCAAGCGGAATGAAAAAGACTCATGAAGCGCACTAGTTATTTGCGCCTTGAAATACACACGTAGGCCTTGTTTGAGCTCGAGTCATGCACAAACCAAGTATTTCATCTATCCGGTTTCCTTAAATTTGTACCAAACTTTTCTTAAAAGATGAAAACACATTTTTTTATTAAATTAGTAGGTATTCATTATGCAAACAATGTATGCATCCATTCATTTCTACGGTACTACGAATGGAATCGCATGCATTACGTACCCCTGCGGCGTTGATCAATGCCGAATATTTAACGCAGAATTGAACGAATTTTGGGCGACCGCATGAGGTGGTTGAATTTTTCACACTTTTTTTTTCCTGCTTGTGTAGTGTTTTATTTGAAAAAAGTGCTTTAGGTTGATGTGGCTACAAGAGACTATGTGGGAATCTTTGTAAAAATGCCCCATATGTAAACTTCCATTTAATCAATTCACCTCCATAAAGACTACCGAATTTTCCAACCCATACTCGGTCTCTTTGACCGTATTATTTGCTTTTATCTCACTTGCCTTCTAAGCCTAACTCACCATCTTTTCACTTTCCCATAACGCTCGTTTGAAGAAACCATTGTTTTTTAGCAAAACCTCATAGAGGGAATGTCCCATATCCAACTACGAAATTTAGCCATAAAAATTTTGCAGCAATCACGCTAAAGCCCCAGAAATTCTGGCTGTCACCATATTTTCTCTTTTTTTCTGTTTTTTTTTTTGCTAACAAACCAAATGGACGCCCTTCATATGGCAGCCGTTTATCTTCACCGGTGGTCATTTAGTCTACCCGTTCCAAATTTCAATTTCCTGCGCTGGAGTGGCTCTGAAAAATAACGCGAGCATCCGAAGAGTGTTTGCTTTTGATCTCGTCACTGAAATGGGAGCGTTTCAAAGTGCAGCTATTCTGTTGAATGACGGGCTCCATGCCACTAGAATGTAGTCAGTCATTTCGCCTACATTGAGAAAAAGCGAAGAAGAAACGTCGTCTTTTCAGCTATTACCAGCTTGTCAGTTCATTAATAACGAGGAATCCTTCTATGTTTAAGCTTCAGCTCAATCTCACTGAATGCCTTAATGCCTTAAACCCTACAACCAACAAAGGTTAACTCATAACCCAAGGATATAGAGTTCCATTAATGAGGATTTAAATTTGTGGGATGCAACAAACATGGAAAATTAAGTCCTCCATTTTCTTTTCCGATTATAACGCATTTCCATCCAGATTTTGTGTCAGCATGATTCTCTTTCAATGAATTGCTCCCTCATTTTAATTAGTGTACGGTGGGTGTTAAACCGTTATGTAGACCAGAAGTCATTTCTACCACAGTCACCCAATCTGACTGGTTCGATGTTTTCATCTGGGATCTCTGCTATGATTAATCGAATATCGAGAAGCGATGCTGTTCTCATTCGTAGTGATGATCAACATTATCGTTTCTTCCTTCACTTCCTTCCTAGCGTTTCATGTCTTTAAAAAAATCCGGCGCTTTTTTCATTTCTACGAAATTCACAAGCGTTCATAAAAGAATGCAGTTGGTTCAAATTTGTTTTCGTACACATTGAGATCAGACAATACCGTCGTGTAAAGCTCGCATATTTGGCCCGTATTACAAAATTAATATTGACAGAATTCAATAAATAAAGCACAGGGTGAGAAGGGAATCCTGTTTGTTTTTTGGGATATGTCCGACAGAAAGCGACGAAGGATTCAGAACGGCAAATAGAAGAACTAGAAGCTTTTCCTAGATCGAAGAAGTTTCTAGTGAATCGCACAATCGAAACAGTCACATTGAACAGCGCTCGGAATTTTGATCGGTCGTGGGCCATCGTTGCACATCAGCTCGGTGGTTACCTTAAAAGCAAAAAAGGATCTTTAGTGGAAATTTTACTTCAAACCAAACATTACCACCTATGAAGTGTGTTTACTATAAAGAAATTCTGGAACGTTGACAATTCTTTTCGCAATTTACAAGAGTTATTTTTCAAAAAAATAAAATGTAGTGAACACAGGCGAGTACGAACCTCTCACTGAATACAGTAGAAAATAACGATAAACAGTAACGACAGCAATGATACTAAGAGATAAAAAACAAATTGTTCGGTGTTGATTGGGGTAGCCTATTCAATGATTTGCGGAAACTTGCTGGTGTATAAGCTCAGCGTTTTAATTCGGCCATGCAAGTATGGTATCAGTTTACGGAACACCGAAAAGAGCAGGCTGGTTAGTCTAGGTTGCGAGGTCAAGCGAAGGACTGCGAATATATTTCGCCGCAGATCTAGCCACTTTTTTTGCTCCTTTAATGACTATAACGACTTGATGTCGTCCAACTTATACTTCCTGGTGTGATCATTGTGAGCACTATTTCATCATACCCTTATTTTTGAGGTGCTAAAACGAGTAACTGGAACCGAAAATCGCACTTACCCATTCGGAATCCGTCATTCTGCAACACTTTGCGTGAACAGATGTTCGACCAGTGATGGGATTCGGAAAACTGAATGACAGACACTGGCCACTGCATCTATTCACCCTGAGAATCACTAATTCACAACCTCGTTCGTCGATTATCTCTTCGGCTCCTAAAACACTTTTCCTCCTTCACTTTTTATCAAGACGAAATATTTTTTATAAGAAATAAGGGCAACGCATGCTAGCTAAGAGGCTTCAGATTAGTGGCTGAGAGGAAGGCAAAACAAGGACCTCGGCTGGCATACTGGAGGCCCAGTGAGCCCCTAGAAAGGGTTATCGAAGTTCGAAGTCTAATTAAGGTTCTGAGTTTTGCACATGTCTCGGCATCCATGTGCTTGTATTCCACTTACGTGAAAAAAGTATGCTTTAAAAATAAAAATTAAACAATGTTTAGATTAGGGTTCCGTTTGTGAACGTATTGTACGATCAGGTTGAAAATAACATTGCGAGTACGGAAAAGTTTTCTCGGAGAAGCTACGGAAGGAAGCAGTACGACTTGCCGCGTCTTCTACAAAAGCTATCTTCTATCCATTTAAATCTATATTTTACAACTACAATAATGCTGGGATATTTCAAAGCTCCGGACCGTAGGTGCCTTTGGTGAACTGAATACGCTTGCCCTTTCTGAGGGCTAACGCGTCCTCCACCACACCATGCGGGTCCTTCTATGTCTATGTTTTATGTTCATGTATTGCAGTTAAAAACGTTTCAGACCAAGTGAAATGCATGTTAATATGTTCACTCCCAAATTCTGAAACATTAACTTTCGCGAAATGAGACTCATACTAGCAATCACTCGTGAGCTCTTGAATGGTACTTACTTGAATGGCCCGTCCGCACTGGTTATGTGGGCCCCAGCATAATCTCCATTTTTCGGAGATTTGATGGCTAAGCAATGTTCCCTGGAGTCCCAAGGTCGGCCTGGCCAACCTTTGCTTCAGATCTTCACCACCACAGGCAGTCGCAGCCCTTGTGGATCAGAGGGAGATTTGCCACCATGAGACTTTGATACCAGGACGATGGTGGATTCTGGTATTGGTTCTCTTAGAGCTCTTGGAGACACATAAACTTGATCAATGTTGAGGTTGACAGAAGGCAGATCTTTAGAACATCGTTGAAACTACAGCGAATGAGTTGAATAGAATTTTAGCGCTTTCTCCGAAAAGGATGTGAACCCAACCTTCTCGTTTTCTGCAATTTTAAAGGTTTCTTATAAGTCTGCCTGCATTACACTTAATTTTGCTGGCTCTACAGGTAGAGCTTGTTGCCGACCAGGTACACAGGTGTGTGTGCATTTTATAATGTCATTTTCCATTTGCATTTGCATACTTATTATAAACAAAAGACGATAGATTTACTGCACATTTTGTTTCCGAGCTCATTTCGCTTTTCATTCACAGTATTTATAGCACCATAGTGGTAGGATAAACATCATCTCGCCCCTTCCTGAGTTTCCTTAACTCACCAACTCTTCGACAATTGTACTTTGATCCAATGGCAATTGCTAGATCTGATGAAACAAGCAATATGATAGAAATGATGAAAAACGGTCGACGTAACAGTATGAAGACGTACACCATGGATCGGAGCACACTTGCAGCTCCCATGCAAACCCTAAACAATGGACGACAATTGTATGCCGATTTATACTCGAAAAAAAAACACAAGAGTTATTCGATTATTCAATGAATCTGTGAAAAAGCATGACCGAATCTGTTCATTGTCAGATTCCAGAATTTTCAACTACTTCCCAAACGAGTTTGGAAGTAACTGTTAGGACGTCAGTGAGAATATGAACAACTTGGAAAAGGCAAAATTTTTCTATAACATTTCAGTGTAGGTCGAAATGTTGGCCTCTGCATAAGATGTCAAGGATTTTTTCTAGAGGATGACCGGATGACGTTCATAGGAAAGATTACGGTAACCAGCACCTGTGAAAGGGAAAAGGCGCCTTCTGTCGAATGAACTCCGTGCTCCTTTAGAGAATAACAACTTTTCCAACTACTATTACTGCTACCATTGTTGCCTGTTTTTATTTATTTATTGGTTTAGGTTAAACCAATCTATTTCGTCATAGTCATTTCACCAAAGGTAAACCTAGAATAGAGAAAAAAACGTTATCAAGAAAAAGTAGGCAGAAATATTTAAGTTCCTCAAAAACTTATAAGCAGTGCCTCAGTTCTTAAAGGCATCCACCAGCTTCACAGTCCTAACGAAGCTGCTTTTTAGATAACAGAAGATAATTCCTCGATCACAAGAGTATTTCAGAAGCTCAAAACTTTGGAGATTTGCAGAAAAACTTTAGCTCTATCGCCTCAATTACATGTAATATTTATAACTCTCCTCCAAAAATACAAATATGCTTAAAACTGAAGCTTTCAAAAAGTCGATAACGGATTTTTAAGTCTTAACATTTCCAATGGATAGCAGAAGCTACGACATAAACGATACATTTGGGAGACCCATCTTGTCCAAAAGGACGTGGTTCCACTTGTTCACTTACTTTCACGTTTGAATACGACTCTTGAAACAATAAAGCAGAGCAAATATCGTGTGTGTCCTAGGCTCCAAAAACTTTCTTTGTGTTGAAAGAAAGGAGTTTTTCACCTGTACGCTAGGATTATTTAAGAAGATTAGGAGCTCGAACACTCTTTGTTGCAACTAATAAAGTTCACCATGAATTGAAATATGTTGATTCAAATTTGGTAGCCACCATTATTTTTGCACTGTTCAAACCCTATAAAGGTCACATTACTACGTGTTAGGGCTATTGTGTTCCTTAAGCATACAATGCCACTTACATCTTGATATCAAGATTGAATACCTCCAATTCTCGTTCCATTTTTGTAATTTGATTGGGATGCAGAGCACAGTGATATTTGAAATATAAAAAATAGGTCGCCGTTTTGAAAAAATATTTAAAATATGCTTCTTCGTTTTGGTTACAACAGTTAGAGGTCAATATAGCCTATTGGAGAGGTTTTGAGGCAATGAAGCTGGCAAGGGGATGATGCCATAATGATGCTGCTCACTGGGAAAAATCAAGAATATAACGGAGACGTTATGCTGAGAATAGTAGAAGTTCTCAGGCAGTATTAATATCCCTCCCACTGCTTGCTAACCGTATAATTGCCAAGCCAAAAAATACAACCATCTGAAATAGCACAGGATCGAAGACTGACGTGTCACCGAACGAAGGCGTAAAGCGATTGGCAGAGACTGGAAGTGGATAAAACAAGGATGTAGGTTTTGTCCTTGATCAATTCCTTAGAAGTACGGCAAGCATCCTAGGGCTCAACGAATTCATAATCGCCATGTATTTGTTGAGGCCTATAGATATATCGAGCTACTGTTAAAATTCCCTTAAATAGGTTTCATACCAATTCGCCAACGCAATAGGAATTAAGGGCTTGGTTCATGCAAGTGACGAGGGCTTAGAAACGTGCATGTCTAATGTTCCATACCACCTATAACTACTGCGCTACACACCCTGCATATTGCAAATATTATGAAGAAAAAACGGCGTAATTAAGAAAATGGAACAGGATGAGAAAACTAAGAAGGCTAAAAAGCAGAGCGGTGAAAAACCCTGGCTAGCACCAGACGTTCTATGCATAAAAGAAAAGACAAAGAATTTAATTTTATGGTGTCTCCCTTTACAAAAAAGTCACAGATTCAATTGAAACCAAGGACAGCGCAAACGCAAACAGTGATCAGCCATGTCCACGCCCATAACCTGCAAAGTGATGTCAAGGAGTGAAACTATTTTGGAATGTATTTTTTGTATTTTTCCGGAGTCCTACAGTCTTTCCAGGATCTACTACCACATTTGTTTTATTAAAGACGTTTTTGCATAATAGTCTAACAAATCATTAAAACCTACACCAACATTAATGAATTAAGTGAGTGAGAAAGAGAAAAAACACTATTTTAATGAAGAAGAATCCAGATAGTGAACAAACACAAATAACAGTCAGCAGTCGTTGCACTTCAGTTTCGTATACGTGAAAAACACTGAATGTGAACAGCAAGGCAGAAAAAATAGGAAAAGAACCACAAGCCTTCGTATGAGCACCAGGTCGAAACGAGTGATGTGATCTTACTTGGTAGTCCCGTTTACACAGAACTGTTTCTTGTTCGGTTGCCCACTCTATAGCTGTCACGATCTTAAAGTACTCTACCATCCTGTAGCAGCTCGGATCACGTAAACTGGTGCAAAGGAAAACAATATTTTGTCATCAAGAAGCACATAACATCAAAAGGGCAACTGAGCAAGGAAACTTCTACGTGAAAGGTTCCTACCGAGTGGGATCAATTCAATATTTCGGTGCTCAACTCCAGTTGCTTCGGTTCGTTATGACAACGAAGATGTACATCTAAAGAAGAAATAACTGCTCTGAACAACCGAATTGAATCATTGTAGTTATGAGGAATGCAAAAGCACTGAAACATTAACGACAGTAGAGCTCTAGAACAACCTTATGTAAGCTTATCGATAGCAATATATTCGTCATATCCGCCGATGATAAATTAACACCTTTCAGACGAATGTGGGTTTGAGGCCAATTTCTCGGTCGCCAGAGCATTTTAAAAGCTAAAATATCCATGAATTTATAAAGATATTATGTCCTTTCGTATCCATCACATTCGCGATTCCCGTCTTTCCAAAAGAGGAAACACTCGAAAAAGATTTTTGATAGAATGAAAAAAATTTCTAACGGAAGAACGGTAGATGCCAACATAAGCGATATATTCCGAACACAATCTCATCGTACTGAATGAAATTTCACTTGCTTATTTCGTATTTTTGGAAGCCGAGTCTTGAAACCAAAAACTAGGAAAAATATATGCTACAGGCTCCAAAATTTAAAATTAACTATTATCGTCTTACTGCATGAATTCTATGGGACTCACATAGTCTGAGTAACCTAGTGTTTAATTACGCTTTTTTATTCCAATGGTTTTAAGCGAAATGATGAATTAGGGGCTAAATAAGAGTAAGAACAAACGCTTATGAAAGTTCATTTTTGAAAAAAGTAGTGTGCAAGATTTCCAAATCGATGAATAGCAGATCCAGAGTGATGAGTTTGCACCGTGACTACTCTGCATCATTTCTTGACGTCAGTGCACCTCAAGTGCGTTCAATGCCAAAAATCCGGCCATCATGCACCCTTTTACGAGATAGATAGCAGGTACCAATTAGATCCCTAGGTAAGTTTATTTTGCGGCACATTATCCTCTTTGGAACGGCATAAGGTTTATTAGAGTTTGACCTCTATCTTTGGATTCACAACCTCATCGCCATAGTAAATCTTCATCTCTATCACTTGTAGTCCCGTTGGTCGTCGAGTGACTCGAGTGGGCGCCAGTAAATCTTCCACTTTTCCCTTCGCGTGCAAGAGTATCCCAGTGGGTTCTGCTCGCTCTAGGGACTCGTCGAGCATCGTATCTTTCTTCAAGGCTCCTTGTGAAGAACTCTGACCATCGAGTCGGTGGTGTTCCTGCAGTACGTTTGATATCCTGAGGAATCCAGCCACTAACGGCTCTTGTCCATCGGTGGTCATTCATATTACGTG